GAATTTAGTATGCATTTCACAGAGGAAGTTTGCATAGGAGAACTATATATATATATATATATATATATATATATATATATATATATATATATATATATATATACAAATTATTTATTGGGCTTATTTTGCTTTCTAATGGATCCGTACACTATGGCACAGCTTTAGGGGCCTGGAAGAGCCCCTACCAGGGGTTCCAGGGCGGAGCCCTAGGATGCTCTCGAGTTTATTTGACTTTCAAGAGAAAGTGTCTCTAAGATATAAAGAGAGGTTATTTCTTCAATGAAGTGAAAGGACTCATGAAAATAAAATAGCCCTTTCATTTCATTTTAGAAATAAACTCTAATCCATCCCTTGATATTTAAATTGCACTGCTCCTACTTCGTGCTTTGTTCAAACTCTCCTTGATCTATAAAGGGTGCTTTCTCTATTTGATCATCAACAGAAGCAAAATGCTAGGCCACGAACTTTTCGAAGCGTGACCAGATTCAAAGCATGCTTAAATTAAGATTAAGGATTAAGATCCCATGTAACGCTTCGAAATGTAAAGAAGAATGAGAAAACTAAAGTTGAGATTCGACCGTTATGTCTAGACGTTGCTTAATGCATTTCGTATTGGTATTATCTCCCGTCTGACAGTGATTAGAGACGTTATTTATATGGATAATAAAGATAAAGCTGTCCGGGTCTTTGAATATAATGCTTCAAAACAAATCGAACAAGCTGTTTATTTCTTTATTCATGGTCTGTTTTTACTGTTTATCTTTTTTCCTTGCCAATCCTCGAAAACGAATGTATTATGCATTTCACAGAGGAAAGTTTGCATATTGATGAAACATGTGGGCGCAGGCCAAGATTTAAACCCACTCAAGTGTGAATTTGGCGCATCTTCACTCATCTTCTTCAACTAGGAAATGGACTTCATTGTAGCCTTAGGACAGGATGGTGAAATAAAATTGATAAAAGAACATCATAATCAGATTATCCGACCCCGGAAACCCCATGAATTCATCAACTTTTATCATACTGGTCCTTTTCCTTTTGAAACTACGCTTTACCTTTAACTCGGATGGCGGCCATTTTTTATTTGGCCAATATGGCCAGCATGACAGCCCCAAGGAGACCTGCAATATTGATACAAGCAACATCATAATCAGATTCTCTGACCCAGAAAACCCCCTTACTATATATTTTTTTTTATCATTTTAGCTCTTTTCCTTTTGGAACTACTATTGATCTGGAACTATCAAATGGCGGCCATTTTGGATTTGACCAATATTACCAGTATGACCCGAGGAGATCTCAAATCGATGAAAGAATATCATAATCAGATTCTCTGACCCCGAAAACCCCATAAATATATAAACTTTTATCATACTAGCCCATTTTCTTTCGTAACTACACTTGACCTGTAACTATCAGATGGCGGCCATTTTGGATTTGACCAATATGACCAGTATGGCAGCCCCAAGGAGATCTTAAATTGATGAAAGAATATCATAATCAGATTCTCTGACCCCCAAAACCCCATAAATATATAAACTATTATCATACAACCGCTTTTCCGAACTACGCTTGACCTTTAACTCAGATGGCGGCCATTTTGAATTTGCCTAATATGGCATACCCAGAGGGTACCCTTCTTGGCGTCCGGAAGAAATCGTAAAAGTATGGTATAATCTACCTCTGGGGCAAATTTGGTGCTTTTAGAAGAATCTGCACCAAACAACCCCTATTTAGCCCTAACAGCCTCCACTATATTGACTATGTATATGTGTGGACTAGAGTACGGACATTCGGTGCGGCAGGCGGACTATTGGTGCGAGACCTCTTCCGCATGGATTGTCCGTCAGACATTTGAGGCGCACACGGAATGTCCGACACGGACATTCTGCGCGGATAAAATCCGCACCGATCGTCCGCTCTCGATCGATCTCTAATAGTCGGACGATCGGTGCGGGTTACATTCTACGCGGTCACACCGGCCATACGTAAATGGCAGTGACGGTAACGACGAATTAGGAGGAAGGGGTGCATACGTGAACTACAAGCGTATTGGGGATGATCATACTATCATTTTAGAGTGTGCAATCTGGGTCAGAATCCAGCATAATATATTTATAAAAAAAGAGGTTCACATAAAAGCACTCATGATAAAGCCGCGCCCGGCCCCTACAACATCATTTTGGATTTTCAGATGATGGGGCGGGTGGCAGGGGTAGGGGGCAAAGTTCGCCCCACTCTTCAAGTACCCCCCCCCCCCTAAAAGGGCCACTTTTACTTTGTAAAGAAGTGCCCCTTCCCCTTTTTAACTCGGATAAGCGCACATTTCATCAACACATGTGCCCCCTTTCCTATCTGATAAGGGCTATTTAGAAAAATGAGGCCCTTCATAAATAAAAAGTGTCCCTTTTCATCTCTGGTAAATGACCATTTTCATATATATGAAGTTAATTCGTTTCACTTCAGTGCGCTCTTCACCTCCGATAATTGCCCCTATTCGAATCTGAGAGATGCTCATTTTACCTTGAAAAGTACCCCTTCCCCTCCTGATAAGTACTCTTTTCATCTATGATGGGTGCCCATTTTCACCTTTGCTAACTGCCCTTTAATTTTGAATCGTGCCCCTTTTCCTTTCTATATAGGGACCTATCCCCTTTTCATAAATGCCCCTTTTCACCTCTGATAAATCAATTTCTGATGGATGCCTCTTTTCCGTCGACAAATGCCCATTTCCCATACTCATAAGTGCCCTATCTCATTTCTGGTGAGTGCCTCCTTTCAGGTGTAAGAAGTGCCCAGTTTGAACCTTTGATAATTACTCTTTGTACCTTGACACATGCTCCTTTTCTTTTCTAATAAGTGTCTTTATCCCTTTCGATATGTGTCCCCTTAACCTCTCATCATCGGGGGGGGGGGGCACGTGCCCCCATAACCTGCTCATCATTAGTCTTGCACCAAATTTAAAGCGACTAAGAGTAATTCCCCCTAAAGCTCGCTCGCTCGCTCGCATTTATAGATGATACAATTATAATTATGTCACTTTAAAACAAATGTTTTTTTAGTCTTCCGTGATGCTTATAACCCCATCATGATTTCCCCCCCCCCCTCTTTATAAGATGTAATTTTTTACTCTACGACCTCACAGATCTTAAATTTTTTCTCGCTCGCTTTGCTCGCTCGCAAATGAATATTCAGACAATCACACTTAGCCGAAAGTGTGATGCTTAAGCAATAACTTGTATGATATATAAAGAAAAACAAATATTGAAATCGTCCCTGATAATGGGATCACAATGAAAGGGTATATACCAATGTCTAAAAAAATGTATATTTTCGCTTTGAGATTTCGCTTTGTAGGTGCCCTTTTTTGTTGGTGCTTTCCACTTTGGAAATAGCTCCTCCGCCCCTGCTTACGCATTAGCGCCAGCGTTAATTTCACGCTGGCGCGCACAGGGTGTGTGTGTGTGTGGGGGGGGGGTTCCTCTCTAGCTCTGAAGCTGATTTTTTTTTTATACCTAGATTCGTGCGATTCGGTTAATACTTTTAGAGGGAGTCTGATGGGTGATGTGCCCCCCTCTGAAGCTGACATTTTTTTGGATTTTTGAAACTGGATTCGTGCGTTTTGGTTAACAATTTTTTGGGGAGTCTGATTTGATTTCAAAACACCTGCAGTTAATGCGTGATGGTGTTGCAGCCTCTCTTTCCCCGAAAATTTAAAAATTACCAATATGCATTTGTTATATCTTATCTCGTATATTTTGGTGACAATTAACACTTTTCACAACATACATAAGCTCAAATTTCCGCTCACTCGCTTCGCTCACTCGCCAAATTATTAAACCAGGAAATAGATATTAGGGCAAGAGGCTTCAGCCCCCACTGATGGAAATGTCAAAAAAAAATTGCGCGCGAGCATAACTTGAAAACGGGGAATGTTGATATCGGACAAGAGATGTGACGTGAGCATGTCCCCTTTCCAAAATAATTGTGCCCGTTTGTAGGTACCAATACACTATTAAAGTACAGTGCTTCTAATATGACCTTGTCAGTATTGGTAAGTTTATATAACGGTCTGCGCGAATTTCGAATTTCCGGCCCCCCCTATTGGAAAATCCTGGATCCGCGCCTGATATTATATTAAGTTTAACAGCTAAAAGTTCAAACAGTGGTATCCGATATTTGGCTGAATAGATTTCTTTTCTTACAATAATTAAAATTAAATTGAAAGCGTTGTTATGACCTCCTTTCAAGCGAAACAATTCATTTTGTTTTGTGAGTTTGGCCTTTAAGTTGGTCTTACTGAGAAACCATTGTTCAAGTTTTGACCATTTTATGTTTGCATATCGGCAGTAACAACAAATGCATAATTATCTCTTCACTGCTGTAACAAAATTTACAATGTTTATCATCAACTATTTGGAATTTCAGCAATGAATCATTAATGTAAAATATTCAGTGTGAAAAGAGCATTTAACCCCACCTAGGCTATAGTACGGGGTTAAGCAAAATATTGCCAGTGTGAAAACAGTATAATCAAAGCATGGTTCGGGGCATGGTTCAATTACTTTACCATAAAATGGTTCACATCTGCCCAAAAGAAATGGTAGAATTTTAATTGCCTAGGGGATTTATTGTTTTTCATATTTTGTAACATAGTATTAACTTCATCAATACTCAGTGGACATTCAAGTAATAAAGACATTTCTCAATTCTCAAGACAATTTGGGGTATCAGAATAATTCATTACAATTTCCAAATTTGAAAGATTTATAAAATAAGTCACTTTTGCACTAAAACTGTGTATATGTAGGATTTTGCTGTTTGAAGGAGTGAATTTATATCCTTATTGTGCATACCGGAATTAGATATTTTACTGTGGCATTCTTCAATGTATTAGCTTTCAATTGGGCAAGAAAAAAAGGGTTCCTCCGATCCCTGGCCCCACTGTACATGTGCGACGGAAGCGATGTGAGGCAAGCGGAGGACATGATATCAGCTGTAGCGCCATCTGTTGATTGATATTGCACAGCTTTCTGCTAGAACTTTATTTTAGGTACTGAGCTGGGCCAGTGAAAATATGTCTTTCCTCTCCCGTTTCATCAGTAAGTATGACAAAACCACAAGTTATACCATATTGCGTGATACTAGTTTACAAATATCTGAGATGTTTTAAGTAATTAATTGTTTTTTTAAAGAAAAGATATCTCCACGAATAACCCAAACTGATTGTGAGGGCCCACCTATTGACTTTCCTTGAGCCATTTCGCACAATAAATTGAAGACGGTGATTTATGAATGTCACAAGAAGGTCAGTACAAAGTCAAGTTTAGACGATCGCCTTTTCCTTGCATTGAGCATATTATTAACCTCGTTATTGTTCTACAGTATTTTCATGTAGATCTATGTGAACAACACTCAAAATGACATAGGTCTAGTACTAGATCTAGTAGAGTAAAGTACCCGGTAATCGGTCAGCTCCGGTTTTCGGCCAATTGGTTGGATACATGGTAAAATCACTTTAAAATACATCGCATAATAGCATAACACATATCCCACACATACCATACCATGCCAGTGTCACTGAAGAACCACATTTGCAATGAAAAATATATCCTAAAATATCACATTTTAGCGATGTAATCGGCGGTCCCGCTACCCAAATCTGAAAAATCGAGTTTCTTACGCGTGTATGTAAGAAATATGGGTACCATAAAATGAGCTTTATTTCAAGTATTTTTCAGATATAGAGCCCGATTTTGTGCTGGTCGCAAGCTCAAAAGTATCTCATCGCATGTATTAAATCAATGCAGCCGCACACCGCGACGCACACACGATATGTCTGTCTAATTCAGATTCCAACTTCCGATCACCGCTGTGCCTGTATTCGGCCAGGCGAGCACCCGGGAGCTCCGGCGTGGGATACCTGCTCCGCCCGCTTGTGCTATACATCAGCGCAGAAACGCACGGCGCGCGCGAGCGCTTCCTATTGACTTTGTACATGCGGCCGTAAACTGAAACGCTCGGCCGATAACCGGCTCCAAAACAGTGAAAATTGAAATGAATATTGTCATGGCAATTCGTGATTTTTTTTGGGGATTCTTTTTTTGTTTAAATAATAATAATATTTGCTTCATGATTTGAACAAGAAATGATAATAAATAGGAAGTAAAGAGTCCAATAAATAGGATTTTGTCTTAAGTGGCCGAAAACCGGGTACTTTACTCTAGTAGTAGAGATGATGCTACTTTATATTTGAAGACTCAGAATAGTTAAAAATGAGAGGCCTTGGGCTTGGGCTTGGCTTTGCAAGTTTTGCACGTAACAATACAAGTTTTGGTAGCCTATTTTGGAAACGTCTCCCATTCACGGCCGTTGGGGCAGCTCTAGGTGGGACACGCTTCACACACGTTGAATCCTCGACCAATGCACCCTGGCCCTTCTCTACAAGATCCATCACCATCGCTGCTACATACTTTGGAAGACACGACCACAACCTGAAGTACAGAGATGCCAAGTTCAAAGATCAGCTATGCATGACATTTTCATGACTCGGCGTGCAAGCGCACAGGCAAGGGTATAGCGTACGTTAAATGTACATTTCAAAATTGCGCATGCGCGTGAAGCAACGTGATAGACGGCCTGCATGCATGCTACGTGCTAGAACGTCCAATAGCTACCGTAGCTACATACGAGTCGGCCCGGCTTGACCAACGAACTCCCACGAAACGAGTGCTCTGATTGGCCATTGGCTATGTTTTGGTAGGTGGACCCGGAAATATATCGGCCGCCGGGTAATATTTTGAATGCATGAACGTACTGCTTCGCGGTTCTGAGATACAAATTGGATAATTCATATAAGTAAGTCCGTAAATTATTTATTTAATATTAAGTTATCAAATTTTGAAAACTGTAATTAGGACAAATGACATACCGACCTAATTTACATCTGATTTTATAGAAATCAGAAAATTAGATCTAAATAAAGAAAATCGGGGGAGAAATGTCGGAAACGAAAAGCTGTTCCGCTGTGGCTCTAATTTACCCGCACGGTACAAGATCTCTGGGTTGCCATCTGTATTGGGGAATGACAACAAATGTCAGTTTTATTAAAGAAATGACCCAAATCAGATGGTTATTGCTGTCTAGCTACGTGCATGCGATATACGTACATGTACACAAACCCATGCGAGGAGCTAGCGAAGGCCTCGGGGCGGTCGGCCAGTTTTTAGTCTAGCAATTACTACCTTTTTTCCCTTTTTTTCCCCAGTCTGACCCTGACGCGTTTTTCAATGCTTCACAGACAAAACAAATGAAGTTTTGAACTCCAAGTCCAAGTAGTGCAAACATTTTGATGGGAAAATTGTCTTGTATCTTTTGTCATTTTGTAAGTAGAAAGTCTCCAATTTAGAGGAGGCGAATTGGCTAGTTGGCTTAGTCGGTAAAGCATCTGCCTGTCAAACCAAAGATCTCTGGTTGGAATCCCACCCAGGAGGATGACTGGAACTTGCGCTGTGTGTGCCCGTCCCGTCCCCCTCCCCGTGCCCCCTCCCCTTGTTTTATAGATGCAGGCTATGTTAAATGGAAAACACTCGGTCCATCGGAAAGGATGTTAAATGGAGGTCCTGTGTAGAGAAGAGTCACCACCTTTGCACGTTGAGAAGTGAGAACCTGCTGCACTATTCATATAAGTGTATGGGGGAAACCCTGGTGTAGTGGTCCGCCTGGACACCCCTGTATATAAACATCTGCAATAATCTTCAGTATTTAAGGAGGCAGATTATCCAGAAGAAGAAGAAGAATATGGAAGATTGCCTTACAAGTAGAAGGGATAGAGTTTCCCACTGGAACTTGGCCTGTGCACCTCTAGGCCTACCGGGTATCATAAATCCATGCCAAAATTTTGACCATCTAGTGAAAGTTTCTAATTTGATCTTTATCTTTGCAGACCTAGTAATGTTCAGTTTATTCATTTTGTATAGGACCCTGTGTGCACCATGCCCAGAGGTCTTCGGCAGCATCACATCTGTCCAGGAATGGTGCCCCAGCTAGCCAGACCCTCTCCAGGCTGTTTAGCAGTGACGCTGGACTGGTCAAGGTAGACAAAGAGCAAGGTAATTAATGATGTCCTAAGTCCATCGCACACTACATGATCTGGCTACGATCAAATTTGTTAAGAATTTGTAATAGCATTTGATGTCATTTAAAGTTCTTAAGTCCAAATGATCGATGATCTGAATAGGCATATGATTTATTATAATCTAAATTTCAATGGATTTAAAGCTTCTTTGAAGGAGAAAAAGCTAAATCCGCTCATAGTCATAGAGAGGTTGTACCATTACTGCGACCGTCTACAATTTGAAGCCAATCTGCTGTAATTCTGACTAGAAGGCTTCAATGCACTAAAATTTCAGTTGTAAGAAGTCTTATGATTATTTAGAACCGAGAGCATAAAGATGAAGGTTGATATCCAAAAATAATATTTAAAAAATGAAATTTTGAAAATCAGATTGCAGGAAGATAGTATAGTGTGCAGTGGGCTTTAGTGGAGGATGATGTCGGTAAAATTTAAACCAGTTAAAATGAAGATTACATTCATAATTTTTGACCAGTTAAGTTTGACATAGAACAAGGTCATGCTGTCACATTAGCACAAAGTTGACAAAGAGTTCACAGAGACAGTGCTGGCAAAAGTTGATGAGCAAAAATGTTTATCACATTCTATTATTCTATTTCTGGACCATTCAAGTTCAACAAAGGAAAAAGTAATGATCGCTTTAGTGGTGCAAGGAGTTGATAGAGATGGTGTTGGCCAAAGTTAACCGAGCAGAAATTGATATTTCCTAACCTTTTAATTCTGGACCGGTCAACATGGACAAAGAACGAGGTAGTCATTGATGTCTTAGTGGCACAAAGACAAAGATGTAATGGAGACAGTGCTGGCCAGATTTAAAAGAACAAAATTGCTATCCTAGAATTATAACTTTGGACCAGTGAATTTTGTAAAAATTTAAAAGAGGTTAATTTATCTTAACCTTTTAATTCAGTGAATGTCCGCACTTTTTGAAAGACATGACATTTAATCTTTTTTTTTTTATCTTATTGATTCCCGAGGACAGTAGTGTGGTAGAAGTGGATGAAAGAAGTTAGGGGTGATGTTGCAAACAACTTCAGTATTCAGTGATCATATTCAGTTTGCAAGCTGGCCTACAATTGATATTTAAAAGAATATTGCTGTATGGCCAGGATGGAAAATGGAATCTTTCTGTACGTTTAATTTTTCTGCTGGGCCATTTTTATTAATGAGGTGGTTTCCTTCCTTGTGTGAACAAAGAACATTTGGTTTGGTATTTAAGTACATGTATATATATGCTGTCCTACACTTGAATCCTCCTCTAGTCGACAGCCTGATCAATGATTTGTGAGATAGTTTTCTGCCTTGTGTGAACAAGCCCAAAGTGTACACTCTATTTCATTTATTGCAGGATATGCTGTCCTAAACATGAATCGTCCTCCAGTCAACTGTCTGAACAAATTATTGTGAGATGTTTTACTTCCTTGTGTGAACAAAACCTAAGTGTAAACTATATTATCATTTGTTTTAGGATATGCTGTCCTACACATGAACCGTCCTCTACTAGTCAACTGTCTTAACACAAAATTTGAGATGGATTACTTCCTTGTATGAACAAACCCTAAGTGTAAACTCTATTTCATTTATTTCAGGATATGCTGTCCTACCCATGATTCGTCCTCCAGTCAAAAGCCTGAACACATAATTGTGAGATGGATTACTTCCTTGCATGAACAAAACCTAAGTGTAAATTATATTATCGTTTATTTCAGGATATGCTGTCCTACACATGAATCGTCCTACAGTCAACTGTCTGAACACATAATTGTGAGATGTTTTACTTCCTTGTGTGAACAAACCCTAATTTTAAATTCTATTATCATTTATTTCAGGATATGCTGTCCTACACATGAATCGTCCTCCAGTCAAAAGTTTGAACACATAATTGTAAGATGGATTACTTCCTTGCATGAACAAACCCTAAATGTAAACTCTATTTCATTTATTTCAGGATATGCTGTCCTACACATGAATCATCCTCTACTAGTCAACTGTCTGAACAAATTATTGTGAGATGCTTTACTGCCTTGTGTGAACAAACCCTAAAGTGTAAACTCTATTTCATTTATTTCAGGATATGCTGTCCTACACATGAACCGTCCTCCAGTCAACAGTCTGAACACAGAATTCCTCCAAGAACTGACAGCTAATATCGAAGAGCTCGAGAGTGACAGGCATATGCAGGGTCTTATCATTACATCAGTGAGTGCAGTCACACACATTCTAATTGTTGTATAAAAGATTCTAGTAGAATACGGGCCTATTAGTTAAGGTACATGAAGGTAGGCCTTATGAACGGGTTTCTGTAATACCGACCGTTTTAAATCATAGACATACAAAAAATAGTAACATTTTGAATGTAAAGACCACTCAGGTTAAAGAGGAAGCCGTTTTTTTTAGCTGGATGAATAGGCATATTTCTTTACATAGATATTTATTCTACTAAAAAAATTAATTAACTTTGTTGCACAGATTAGGTTCATATGTACAGAATTTATTTTGGAATTACTTATAAGGAGAAAATCATAAATTCTTACCAGTATTGTAGTTAAAACCTCATGGTCCAAGTTTGAGAACGAGAATTTCCCATCCGAGACCAAGACCGGGACCTTATCAAAATTAAGTTATCATCTAGGGTTGTTTGTTTTAAAATGAGTATGTAGTAACAGAAGTGTGACCTAATACAACTGACACCTGACCTCACCAGGTCTTACCAAACTTCTCGAGAGTGTGTTTGTAGTTTTCTTTTCAGTTGGGACTTGAGAAATCTCACATGTTTTTATTGAGACTTCGAGGTCGCAGACCAAGATCGAGACCGAGACATCTAGGTCCGAGACAGAGACCATATAAAAATGGGTCTCCACTCTCCGGACAGTCTCAAGACCTACAACGCTGATTCTTTAGACCAAGATTGAGACCGAGACCCTATCAAAATGGGCCTCGGGACAGTCTCAAGACCTACAACGCTGATTCTTTAGACCAAGATTGAGACCAAGACCCTATCAAAATGGGCCTCGGGACAGTCTCAAGACCTACAACGCTGATTCTTTAGACCAAGATTGAGACTGTGACATCTACATGTAGGTCCGAGACATAGACCGTATAAAAATGGGCATTTGGACAGTCTCAAGACCTACATCACTGATTCTTACCCCTCTCCCCCTCACCCCTCCCCTTGTCTTCTCACCTTCCAGGCATGTCCAAAGATCTTCTCGGCGGGACTGGACATAACTGAGATGTACCAGAAAAGTCCAGAATCGACGGACCGCTTCTGGCGTAGCCTCCAAGACTTCTGGCTGACCCTCTACGACAGCAGGCTGGCTACAGTGGCTGCAGTTACGGTAGGATGAGCTTTCACACACTCCAACAAGAATCACCAATATAACTACCTCTTTTTCGGTCATGATTTGTCTGCTTCTTCCTTCTTCCCTTTTTCCCCTTTTCCCTTTTCCTTCTTCTTATCTGTTTTACTTCTCCTTGTTGTTGTGTTATGTTGTATTGTGTTTTCCAAGTCTTTGTAGGCAAAATTTGAAACAATTATATTTTTTTTCCTTGGGTTCCACAAACTACAAGCACTGCTTTTTAGTGGATCCCCCCATTCCTTAGAAATTAAGAATTTCTTGTAATAATTTTATTATGTGCACAGTTACCAGAAAAAAATGAATTATGTATGAAAAAAATGTAATATCTTTGTTTATCTTACTGTTGGAAATAAATATGAATTGAATTGAATTGAATATGCTCTGGCGACGATTGCTCTGTTTGCTATTTTCATTTTGTCAAAATGGTAGGGTTAGTTTTAGGGTCGTCGCAACTGGGTGTGAGGTTAGGTTTAGGTTAAGTGGCTAGATTAGGTGAAGCGTTGGGTTGAGTGATCAGGTTTAAAGTTAGGAATTTGTTTCATGTAGCATGTTGACAATGGAGCAATTTTGGAGTATGTGTCCTGCGCAGAAGATTCTTCTTAGTGTGCATGCCCTTTTATGGTATACTTGCCATCTTGATGGGGGTCTTTCTAGCATGAGCAGTAGAGAAATGACTTTGAAAAATTTGAAAAATGGACAAATAACGTGCAGCTGAAATAATGATGATAATATCATTGCGATCTTAATTGTTGTTATTGTTATTAGTAGTACAGTCAAACCTGCTTTAGTGACCACCTGTCTACAAAGACCACCTGTCTACACCAAGCATATTTCTTGTTTCCCTTGAAAATGGTCTCTCATTGAAACATGTACTAAAGGAACCTGTCTACAACAACCACCTGTCTATAACAAGCACGTTGTTTGTTTCCCTTGGGCGGTCGCTGTAGACAGATTTGACTGTAGTAGTAGTAGGATAGTGTTAGTGGTGGTGGTGGTAGCAAAAGTAGTAATAGTAGTAGGATTCAGGGTTGTAGGAGTACAGTCAAACCTGTCTATAGCGACCGCCCAAGGGAAACACAAAAAGTGGTCTTTGTAGACAGGTTCCTTCAGTGCATGATTAAATGAGAAACCATTTTCAAGGGAAACAAGAAATTTGGTTTTTGTAGACAGGTGGTCACTAAAGCAGGTTTGACTGTAGTAGTAGTAGTAGTAGTAGTAGTAGTAGTAGTAGTAGTACTAGTACACATAGTTATAATATTAGCAGTACTACCATCATTCATAGTGTCATTATTATTATTATTCAAAACCCTGCATTCTCTCTCTCTCTCCAATGTAGGGTCATTCCCCTGCAGGAGGATGCGCAATAGCTATGTCATGTGACCACCGGATAATGGCTGAAGGGCCTTTCACCATGGGCCTCAACGAAGTCAACTTGGTAACTTTGCTTTCTTTCAATGAAACCATGTCCATGCATTGTTTCCCGTATGACATCTATGACATTAAACCATTTCTTCCGTCTAAAAATGAAAATCTCTTCTTAGGATCATTGAATAATGATTTGTTCTTGAATAGTGGTAATGTCAAATTATTTTTCATTTTGAACAGAAATATCTGGGGAAAAATATGTGTCGTACGAAACACACACCGCCCAAATTTTTGCACTGCAACCTCACAAATCTTATATTTTTTCCTTGTTTGCTTCTCTTTATTTAAGTAGAACTTTAACGAGGGTATTAAAAGAAGGAAAAAAGAATACCAGTAGATAATGTAAATGCACGCCTGCGAGATCAGTGATATCTAAAATTCTTTATCGACTTATAAAAGAGTCCAAAAGATTTTCTCTTCTTTAAAATTCCATTCATCTCATAAACTCATCGTTAAAATCTCCTATGTAGAAGAATAGATGTAGAACTCAAATTTCTAAATGAATATTATTTGTATAATCATAAGAAAAATGTAACTACATGTATATCACTGCGGTGGAAGAAATTGTCAATGAAATAGCCTTCACATAGGGATCTTACCGAAGCTCCCAAAGATAATTCTTATTTGACCTCGTGCGGATACTGTCAAACATATATTTCTCTGAATACTAGCTGTACCTATTTTTCGAACAGCTTGGTCAAATCGAACTGTTCTGAATTGTATACGCTGTTGTAACAGCCAACAAAAGTAAATTCGTATATTTGTACCTCATGTTTTTATCAGTTTCGCGGCCGTGAGAATCTTTATTTTCTGTTTTATCACAGGGTATTGTGGCACCGTTTTGGTTCAAAGATACAATGCAGAATACGATTGGCCAGAGGGAAACAGAGAGGGCGTTAGGGCTAGGTAAGCTTCATGTAATTTTACTTTAAAAGGGGCAGGATGCCAAGATGTCCTTTATTTTGAAACTCTCAAATCTGATTTTTTTTTTTTTTTTTTTTTTTTTTTCTCTCTCTTTTTTTCTCTTTTTTTTCTTCTTCTTTCTTTTAAATATTTATTGCTAAAATTCAAAGCATATAACGTCACACAAAAGACTTGGAAGATACGATCAGAATGTTGCAGAGTAATTTAGAAAAAGCAATGTTTTGCACACAGATATATGCACAACTTCAATTCTCATTCATGGATTCGTGTACAGTGAGGGACAAAAAATGATGTCCTTCCCCTCTTATGACGGCGGACGCGGTTAACTATCTGGCACATGTAAAGAGAGCATTTATTACCCCAAATTCAACAAATTCTCTTCCAATATTTCTTTCTTTCTTCCATTAGTCTAGAGGTGTTGTGGTCTAGTTGATAAGTCTTTGGACTGTGATCCACAAAGTACAGGGTTCAAATCCCTGCCACAGCACCTTTGGCAAAAGATTACTTTACATTTGCCACATTTGCCTCATTTAACCCAGGTGAGGTAAATGGGTACCTGGCAGGAATTCATCCTTTAAAACTTAGCATGGGTACCAAAATGGGAGCCATGCTAAAGGGGGAGCATCTAGTCTGACAGATATGAGCTCTATACAAGAACTAACAACATTATATTATTATTATTGAATATTACCTTTGAGTTATCTTCTGCCTTTTTTTTACCTGACAGGTCTTTTGTACAAGCCTGATGAAGCCCTGAATGTTGGTCTGATCGATCAAGTAGTACCTCTTGAGAACGTTGTTGACCAGGCCAGAGAGGAGATACAGAAATGGATCAAAATACCAGGTAGGGACGCTATCACAGTCTTCCAGCTCATTATAGAAAATGGCGTGCTTCCAATCAACCAAGTTTTGTATTTGTAAGATTTTTTTTTTTAATAATTAAAAAAAAAAAAAATTATAATCATCAGTATAAGCTAGGTGTGATGATATTTGCTTGCCTCTTGGACATGATAGAGTGGGTATAATGTTATATATGCCAATATTTGCTTCTATTTTTTGTTAAAGGCATATTGATTAATAATTAATTCACTCGTCTTTTAGTTGTAAAGATCTAGACGTCATTGTTTGTTTGCCTGGGTGTCATAATGAATGGATGATGATGATGATGATGATGATGATGATGATGAAGATTATAGGTAAGGAAAGGTACGGTATTTATTCATCAACATATTGCAGCTGAAGGCTGAATTGCATGCATGATTTACAAATATTTGATTAAAAAACATATTTACAATTCATTATTGAACAATACTTCAAGATCATGAAACACATCAGGAACACATGAATATTAAAAAGGAATTAATGAATATCAGGCAAAAGTAAAACCCAGAAAGGGAGAGAAGTACCGTAAAGGAAAAATAGGGAGCAAAATGGGGAGCAGGAATCGTCTTCAATTCACTATTTTGTGTGTGATAAAACTCTATCAATGTTTCCAATTATTTGAAATATGAAAATGAAAGAAAGGTGTATTGTTGGATATTCAAGCAATAAGCGATCATGGATCCAGGAATTTCTTCCCGGGGGCACACGGGGGGGGGGCACGCGGGGGGTAAGAGGACATATATATTTGATTTTTGGTCCCCACAAAAAATGGCAACAACTCAGCCACCCACTGAAAAAGCGAGGGGGGGGGGGGGGGACATTAATTTTCCTTTTTTTTTTTTTTTTTGATTTGATTTTTGGTCCCCACAAAAAATGGCAACAACTCAGCCACCCACTGAAAAAGCGAGGGGGGGGGGACATTAATTTTCCTTTTTTTTTTTTTTTTTTGGTCGGGGGGGCACATCCCTGTTTGGCAATACATTTTTGGCGAATTCGGGCTGATTTTAACATATTTTTGGTTGGCCGGGGGGGGGGGGGGGGGGGGGGGCCCTGTGCTCCCCCCCCCCCCCCGGATCCGTCCATTAAATACATGTTCTAAAAACAACAATAGTTAGATGAAACAGAACATGAGTAGATGTCTCAGGTTCGATCCTGGTCTGGGACCTCAAAGTCTCGATAAAAACACTTGAGATCTCTCAAGACCCGACTAAAAAAAAAACTACAAACACACTCTCAAAAGTGTGTGATAATGATGATAAATATTGATGTGGATGATGATGATGATAATGATGTGATGGTGATGGCTGTGGTGAGGATGATAGTGAGGATGATATAATAATAATGATAATAAATAATTGATTGATGATGATGAGGATGATGATGATAATGAATAATAATAATAAATTGATGATGATGATGATGATAATGAATAATAATTAATTGATGATGATGATGATGATGATGATGATACCATGTAATAGTGCTTTACCTGAGAATACAAAGCAGTGGATTTCATACCATTAATGGGTTTTCATTCCAATCTTTGTTTTCTATTCTACGTTTAGGTGTAGCGAGGATGGCTTCTAAACGTATGATCCGTGAGTCCACCCTCACCAAACTCAGAGACATCAGAGAGGACGACATCAACATGTTCACCAACTTCATTCAGATGGAAGCCGTCCAAAAGCATCTAGGGAGTTACATGGAAAAGCTCAAGAAAAAATAGATTATAATTGTGTCCAATTTCGATATTTGGTAATTTACGTTGGTCCTCAGATCAAATCTTGGCTTTTTATTTGTATATGTTATTCAAATTTGTTAACTTTATTTGTCATGAGAAATCATGATGCTTAAATTATTTAAAGTTGAGCAGCAAGCATTCCTTACCGGTACACATTGATATATCCATTAAAGGTATTGTATATCGGGAAGCACATGATACTGGAAGCACCCTATGAATGTTATGAATTTTATGAATTATCCACCCATAAGCCATATTATCACGATATAAAAAAATATTCAAAAATTCTTTCTTGATGTTTTGTTAACACAAATACAAATGGGATTACATGATTTCCTTTATGATCAACTTTTAATAATTCAGAAAAGTTCTGTCACGCTATAGCCACTTTGTTCGGTGCCATATTCTATGTCATCAGGGACATTGTTCTGTTACATTTCTTCAATTTGTGGGAGAATTACATCAAAAACTGATTGATTTACATTTTTGTATTGATTATGATTGATAGGTTACATGGGCATTACTTTTATGGTTCATATTACACCTTTCTGTCTGTTTGGAGCCTAAAAGGCATTAAATCATGTGTTTTTACTCAGAGTTAATGCCCTTCTGGCTCTCAACAGACAATATATCATTGGTATGGACCCAGAAGGGTGTTAACTCTTGTGACACACAGGTAATGCCTTACTGGCTCTCTTAAGATGATATGTCTGTGTTATTTGCCGTTAGTCATGGTTGAGAGTGATAGCAGGGTTTCGCATTATTTTTCATGTTTGGTTTATGAACCTGAAAACGCTGTGTGATGAATTTTATATTCCCACAATTTCAAAATTTCCTGTCTTCATTAAATTATGAAATTAAGAAGAAGAAGAACAAAAAAGGGTGACTAGTTTCTTCTACAAAATGAACATTGCAAATTCCTGACCAATAAGGTGCCCACTAAGGATACAGATGCAAAATTTGCTTAATTAACTTAATAAGTTTTCTTCAGAGTCCCTAGGTACCTATGACTTTCCTCTCTTTACATGAACTTTTGTGTCTGCATAAACGAAAGGGAAAGCTGATAGCATGAGGTGACACTCCCTCGCAAAGATGATTTCACATGAGAGCTTATGTCCTCTGGCTGAATATCAATTTTCCAGTTTCTAAATTTTGTAAGCGAGCTATTAAAGCAAGTAAGCAAAAGTGTTGACACCTAATTACAGGGAAATGATTTTTCATCTAGAAATATGAAATTATATGTTAACTACAATAAGACTACATGACTGTCCTTGGATGCACAAATATTGGTAATTCCAGAAGCGGTGGAAAAATACTTCTGAAACATCTGTTTTTTTGTTCCTTTAATTCAAACGTGGGCTATGACTGTGAGAGCTGATTTTTGGAGGTTGATTATGATATAATGTATCTTATATGACTCCAAACCTATGACAATTTAATAAAGAGATTTATTGCAAAGCAAACACTTGATGCTCACATCAACACGTTTTGTTATTTTCATGCTATCTATCATTTATGGACACACGATTTCCGCTTAATATGCACCTGGGCAAATATTTGCTGAAATTATGCCCTCATTTTTTTTTAGGAAGACATGTTGTTTCAGCATTAGGAAATAATTGTAGGCTTGCTTTGAATCAACGCGTCCGATCGGGTGGTCGCGCTACACCACGACAGAATTTTGTGAAATGTAAGCGGAAGATCATGTGAAGATGCGCGACCTTCCGTAGATTTGCCGTAGGGTTTTCACTAAGTGTCGGGTGAATTGGACCAGACCCAGGGGCGTCTCTAGGGGAGGGGGGGGGGGTGGTGCGACACCCCCATCTGTCGGGATATTGTCGGTAAAATTGCGCTGCCGTCGGGAAGAAAGAGAGGGAAAGGGAAAGAAAAGAAAGGAAAGAAAGGAAAGTGAGAAGAAAGAAGGGAGAAAAAAGAGGGAGGAGAGGAAAAGAAAGGAAAGGAGAAAAGGAAGGGGGAAAAGTACTTAAATAGAGAAAAAGGAAACAAAAGAAACGAGGGGGGGTGGTGAAAGAGAGGAGAGAGGGTGGGGGGGGAGGTAAGAGCCTGAGGGAGGAGGGATGGGAGTAAAAGAGAGGGGGCGTTGTTGGGTGGAGTCGTCTCGTCGAGGAAGCAAGAAAGACACGCATAAATATGTTGCTGTGTCGGGTCAGCTGTGTCGGTATTCGTGCTCGATCCTCGTGTACTATATCAATGCAGATGTTTGAAATGCTGTGACGAATTTTTTCATTTCATTTCATTTATTTTCATATTTCTCATGTTACATATACATTTCAAATAAAGTACAAATTGTTTTTTTTTTACAAAAATCAGAGGTTTACAAATTTTGGGGAAACTAAATTTAAACAAGGATGGTACAACGAATTGCTTCTTTCTCTAATATTTAAAGGACACGTCAAAGTTTCCACGCTTTGCGCGGGAGGTGGAGAACTGAATTCAGATAATTAGGGTTAAGAGTCGCGAACTGGTACAACGATCCGTCTTCTTTCTATAATAATTCAATGAAACGTCAAAGTTTCCACGCTTCGCGCAGGAAGGGGGGAATCTGAATTCAGACAAAGATTGAGAGTCGAGAACGGAACAACCAATCGTATTCTTTCTCTAAAAATTAAAGGGAAACTGAATTCAGACAAGGATTAAGAGTCGAGAACAGTACAACGAATCGTCTGCTTTCTCTCATAATTTAATGAAACGTCAAAGCTTCTGCGCTTCGCGCGAGAGGGGGAAACTGAATTCAGACAATTAGGGTTAAGAGTCGAGAACGGTACAACAAATCGTCTTCTTTCTATAATAATTCGATGAAACGTCAAAGCTTCCGCGTTTAGCGCGGGAGGGGGAACTGGATTCAGATAAGGATTAAGAGTCGAGAACAGTACAGCGAATCTTCTGCTTTCTCTCATAATTTAAGGAACCGTCAAAGATGAGAGGGGTTTTATTTCACAAACATTACCCCGACACTTCTGGAAAAAGGGGCATGTTTTCACAAAAGTTAGGGTCACCCGACCAAACGGGTTGATCCGATGGTTCGAAGTAAGCCACTTGGCAAGATATATAAGTGATGTGTGGAATTTATTGGAAAAATTAATCTTATTTTTTATTTTGTCGTATTTTCCAAAGGGATGGTAGTATAGCTGGAATTAACAAATGCAATTTTGCGTAGTACACAATTCCATTACTTTAATTTATTTTGTACACAAAATGTCAGCTTATTTATTTTTTGTAAATTTCAAGGATAGTAAAGACTCTTCAGTTTTGTTTTTTTTTTGCAGCCCGTGTCCATGTTACTCATACTATCCATACTACATATTTTGCACAGCCCATTTGAAAAGTAACCCAAGAAAACGATTTGAAAGAATTTTTGAAAGACCGATTCAGGTAAAAACAAAAACAAAACAAAAAAACAAGATACATTGCGATCATAATACATATTCGACAACTTGAGACACCTGATGAACTTTCAATCTTTCAGTTATTGTTGGTCAGGCTTTACGCATCTTTTCCATTTTCTGCATTTTTTGTTCTTCTTTCATGAAATCGACTAGTCATGAAAGTTGTATTGCACTTCAGGAATGAGCAGCTGTTTGAAAATTTCGAGGCTTTGAAACGGAATTCATGTCTCAGGCAAGTTCTTCAGTTTTTTTCATCCCCATCTATATTCTAATATAGCTGCCTCTTCTATAAGCCATTTCACACACAGCTAAAATTCATCGAATCTAGAGATGATTAGTATAAACGTGTTTCACTCAACAGTTTTAAACATGTTTATAGAAAATTTTCCCAGTGTGAACATCGTTTATACGATATTGGGTTAGATACGAAGTCGCGATCCATACGCCCCTAAAAGCAGGCTGCAGATACAAAGTTCGTATCTATAGAGAGCTTGACATTTTATGTGTGAAAGTTTATTCGTGTTTAAACGTGTTTCAGACGTGTTTAAACTGAATGGAGCGTGCGCTTTGATTGATATGACATGACCTTCAATGCGCAATGGCACTACTGCGCATTTTACGAGCAGTAGTTAATCACGAAACGATTAACGATCGCACCGAAATTTCTGTGTGTGAATGATGTCGTATGTTCAGGTGATTAGTTTAAACACGTTTATACTAATCATGTTTATAGAATTTTAGCTGTGTGTGAAAAGGCTGCAAGTCACACGGTCGCAAAGACTTTCGAGATATCATCTTGTAAGTTATTTCCAAGGTGACCAATTATTTATATCTCCTCGTTCAATGAACCGCGCATCTTTATCCTCCCGACATCCTAAAAAGTACTTCGTATCTCCGACACGTTTAATAGGAACTCGTTCGTTTTCTCGCGGAGATAGCAACGGCAGCAAATCACAAAACGCCGTCGGTCGAAGATTCGGATAAATCTTCTCGACCCGACCGTACTTTCGCCACGCGAAGAATCCGCTGTATCGCTCGTCGTCCTTATCAAGCTTAATCAAGTAGTCGGCAAGATCTTTGGGTCTAGCGAAATCCGCAGCGTAGATGAAGGAACCGGGCGGAGCGATTTTCTCGTACGTCTCCCTCCGACCGCCGTACACGACGGGGACTACGCCGTTCAGAAGACAGTTATCCCAGAATTTCTCCGTCATGTAATCGTCGCATTGGGTGTTCTCCAACGCCAAGTAAAACTTATACGATTTCATCAGGTTGACGCATTTCTTTGAGAACCTTGGCAGACAGGTCGCCTGACCGCATCTGCCGTGTATGTCGACATGGATGAATTCTTGAAGCCTCGACACCCACTCGTATCGCGGCCAAAATGTAAAGTTACAATTGCTGGCCATCCATGCCAATATCTTGGTCTTTCCTTCCGTATAGTTCACGGGTTGATCAGGGCTATCCATGGGGCTACCTTGGACGTACCGTCCGTACGGGTGAACCACATCACTTGAAGAATGATACGTCATAGAATAGTGGAACTGAATATCCCTTACAGAATTATCCCAAAAAGTCATCATGTTGGCACTCTCCATTGCGTAAAATACTATCTTCACTTTCTTTGGCAGAGTGTTCAAAAGTCGCTCCGAAATTTTGCTCGCGTTAGGTCTTACCAAGAGCGGGGCCAAGTTCAGTAGGGTAGCATCGCTCGCAGCAAGGATAGTATCATCATTGGTTGGTATGAGGTTGATATCGCAGGGCTGGTCTGGACATACGACATACCCTGTCGGCGAAGATTCGATGTTGCCCGAAAAGCGTTGGCCATCTTCGAACAACCGTTTTAGATCGCTATACTCTGGCCAGTATCCGAAGGGTGTAACATTAGGTGTATATAAAGTTATTAATCGGGTACACTTACTACGAAACTGTACAGCATTCATATTTGATAAGTTTGCGTTTCCACCTTGGTTATGGGAGTGTACACCTGTCATACTTTTCATAGCAGTTTTATTGGCAATATTCACTACCTCCATGCCTTCTGATGGCACGTTGCCCTTTAGCATGTTTCGAAACAAGTTCTGTCTGTGTCCATTGTTTGTACTTAGTCCATTAACAGGTTCTTTCAAGGTGTTATTGTATCTTCTCGCTCGCCTTAAGTTGATTACGCGCTTTCTCAGCTCTCTCCGATTTGTGCCATTTCTTCGACTTTGAGGTTTCCCTTCGGTCCTTCTTGCTGACAAACTAGCACTTGCATTGACTTTGGTGTCGCCAGCCGAAACATCTCCGTGTTGCTTCCTCTTTTTGTTTATTCTGCCATCAACATCATTCCCTTCTTGCATGGGTAGATGGACTTTAATCGTCTCCTTAGGGCCGAGTAGTTCAGTCGGTCTTCTTTGAGTATCGCTTCGGACGAGACCACGATGGTCTTTCTGCACGCCTTCACGCCGGTCTCGCAATTGGATGTCACCAAGAGGGATGCCTTCATCCACCTTGTCGTCACGGGTTAGTACTGATCCTGACGGGATCTTGTCACCGTGGGAGCTCACTGGGTCCCGATGCCGCACAGGGAGGATCCGATCGGACTCGTGAACCAAAAACATGTCATTTTCAGGTTGTCCGGTTCCTTGATGGAGTGACTGAGTTTCCAGGTATATCAGGTTAAGCGCAAATACATATGCCACAAGGACCAGCACTATCCAAAGGACTCGCCTCGAGTTTCCCTTCCGACGTAGCGTTAGAATTTCCATGTCCAAAATAACCTGTGGTAAAAAAAAAAGTGAATTGAACGTCGATTTCATAGATTTACAAATTTGCTCCTTAGCGAATGCTATCACTTTTAATTTGAACACAGCAATCAATTTTGTCTTCAAAAAAAAATTGTCAAGAAAGAAAATATGCCGGTTTGTATTTGGCAATTTTTGTGTTGCTTTAGTATAGCAATTTGCTGAGTAGAATCACAAAATATGAATGATGATAACTCTCTATTTTGTTAACGCCAATTTTTTAAGAATGTAAATAGGAAGGACAATAGAAAACTACTTCGATCAAACGGTGCTACAGCAGCTACAGACTAGAAAGAAGAGTGGATACAGTCTGTCGCGTATCCAGGTATTTCAGAGCCTCGAGCAAGCAATGACATAGTGGCCCTTCCAAACATATTGCATAGGCCTAATTGTACAAGCAATTGAAGGGAACGAATTAAAAAGACACCTTCATGAATTCGTCATCACAATGAAATATAAATACTTCAGAATATATTTGCATTTTACAACCTCAAAAGCTCAATTTCTACATAATCCTTAAGGGATGTGACTTTTCTTCCTTTTAACCAATAAATCAAATCAAATCAAATCAAATCCCCATTCTCTTTTTCTCTTTTACAGTTACGTTGGGCCTCCTCTCTTTTGCTTTTTTTGGGCCCCCTCCAAGTGCCGCCGGGGCAGGTGCCCTTGTCTCCCATTTGAAAGCCACTGGATATAACATTGATAGTCAACTCGCTCTATGTACCTCTGTCATCAATTTGTGACAAAACAAGATTAAGAGATAAAGGGAAAACAAGTAAGTGACACAACACACATAGGCGCTACACACAAATACAGGATGTCTAATTATCTACACGAGGGAAGGTATAGGGGGAATAGGAAAGTCCAGGTTTTGCCATATTTTTCAACTATTGCCTCTTTTATTTTGTTTTCTGTATGATCAATAAATAGAAATGCAAAGATCTGCATTATGATATTGAAAGAGCACTCTCATTTTTGCCTCACACACCCCAGTATCTACTTGTTGTTGTTCTTGGGTTTTAAGGCTGACCAATCTAAAAATATTATTTCTGCCACTCCCACCCCTATTGCTTTTATATTTGTTTTATTTCCATAACAAAAATACATGAATAATGATAAATATTTGTTCACCAAGGGAAGCCTCATTGGTTTGTTATGTGCTTCTTAATGGCCCTGCCACTATGATTATCCCGTCGACTGCCAGGTACCCATTTACATCTAGGTGGAGATTGGAATGGCACATATGGATTAATATCTTGCCAACGGGCGTTAGTGCCGGGCTGTGATTCGAACCCTCAATCCTTGGGTTGAGAGTCATACATACCATACATATAGCATGTAAGATTAGAAATTGCCCGATAGCTCATTATTTTAGCTCTTATGGCAGACAACAGCTGTACACCCATCGGGTTCCAAATATTTCAAAACGATTATGGCATACACTTTACAAACAGAAGAAATTAATAATACGATCACGATTTCACGTGGAAAGTAGGCTTAGAAATTCAATGTCTCATTGAGCCTATAAAAACAATTCTCTTTGAGGGCCCTGTAATCAATATAATTCCCCGCTCAAAATATTCAAAGGAATTTCTTCCTACCGGGTACACATGCATTTATCAGGAGGAAGAAGATGGAGGATAAGGGGAAGGTGAAGAATCATTCCAGCGACAATAGTGATTAAAAACTTATTACATCCTCTATGATCGAGGTATACACATGCACATTACATACTTTGTGGTAAGAAGGAAGAAAGCAAGGAAGTAGGAAGGCAATGATAAAAGAGAGAGAGAGAGTTTAGCCCGGGTTCAAATTCATTTTTCGTGAAATTATGAAACTCGGCACTGATGATGATATATCTGCCATGTTATTGCCAAGTGACGCTACATAAAAATAATACCAGAGTGCCTTCTATTGTCATCGAATATTGTTCAAATAGCATTGTAGAGACGATTGTAGAGACTGCTAACTAATCTGACCAATGGAATCAACCGAGCGGAATCAACTGTTAAACGAATTTATCACGAATCCTGAAATATCAATTTGTTACCGATTTTCATAGTAGCATTCAAGAGCAGCAGTAGCGAACGTTTGTCGTTAAAATTCGTAAAACGTTGTTTAGATTGCATTTCCTTAAGAATAACCATGAAACATGAAGCTAGATAGAACTATGATCGATACAATTATATTGTCGTGAATTGTTGAAAACAGTCAGAAAACATTAGAACTATAATAAATAAGACATCATGCGATTATGTTAACAAGACGATAGTATAGAATCACTGTGTGTATTAGATGGCAATTATTTTGTTGCACTGTAGGATACAGCTCATCTATATAAAAAGGTTATTTTACAATTATTCGTTCTTGGTTTAGGGAAACTATAAGAACCGGACACAAAATGATTTTAGAACGGAGACAATATATATTTTTCTGCTTTTAATTAGCATGGGGCGTTTGCTATGTTCCGGTACATTATTATTTAAAAATTAATGTTGGATATCATAATGCTTCTTGACAGACACTTAAAACATACCTTTCCCGTGGTTGATCTTCCCCGTTTTCCTGCCATCGTTGCACCGTTTGATCACGTTTCAATTGCAGCACTTTTTTTCTCTCCTTCTCTCTCGTTATCCCACCAACAAGTAGAAAGAAATTCTCAGTCTCAAATCGATCTATACGAGAAAAACCTGAAGAAAACAAAATCTGAAAGATACTTCAAAAGGCCACCAAAGAAATGTTGGCCGCGAACAGTAGAATAATTGCGAGTCTAGTAGTGTAGCTCGTATTCGCGTTTCGAGCGTTTCGAGTTGAGGCCTCAGATCGGGCCTCAGACGTAATGTTGCCGAGAACGTGAAATGTCAACAATTGGAAGACGGAATAATAGAAATACAAGTCATGTATATTATACGCCTGCGTGTGCGTGTACCCGTACGGGCATGGCGGGCCAAATATTCTTTCAAAGGTTACGAGACTTCAATATTTGAACTGCAATGACGTGGTTCGTTTTCCTACAAGTATTTGTGAGGTCAAGTTCCGGGTCAAGTTATGGTGCTCCAATTGATCAAATCGTTTAAGAACTGATCAGTGTATGTTGATATTCCTAGATATTTAAAGTTAAAATGGGGGAAATGAGATGTGTAACTTTTTATCTTTCGTTTCTCCATGATTTCAGAACTTCGGTATGATAAATCACAGGTCATCGCTCATCATATTTTGTTTTGCTTGTAAAGGCGTCTTCATAGGTGTAAGATAGTTCGTTTGATTGGTAATAAATCTCCAATAAAACATCTTTGTTAGAACTCCTACTCACAGTTCAAGTCTCTGTAAAAAAAAAAAAAAAAAAAAACGTTTCTGTTCTTTACATATTAGTTTGTTTAATTATGTACTACCCTTATATAACTTGTATTACTGTAATATGCTTTGTTTTGGACATTCTATATGTTTCAATTCATACCTGCGTATTATGCGTATGTAACCTTGGTTTTAGGTTTTACAAAAAAATATTGTAATTCTATTATTGCAAAATTATGTCCTGAACTATGTTAAACTTTAAATTATGTGTATTTTACTTTTTTTCTTTATTACTTTCTTTATTAAATCACTTGATGTTCGTAAGCCCACAATAACATTTTCACACAGCTGCGCCAGGAGTGTTACTTTTGACAGACATGGCGCATTATAAATGTTCACTGTTATTATTATTATTAAAAATACAACAACAAAAAACAAAAAAACCTTATTGAAATAAATGAACAGATGTATATAGTCATATATAATAAGCACGTTTACAGTATACTTTTACAGATTATATAGCAGCTAAAGAAAAACACTTTAGGTGCTCAACTGCGTTGACAAGTCTGTATTTTTCTTCGCATTAAGTTGACGGATTTAAAGAAAGTGCTATTGGCACTTTCTAAGATAAACGTAGCCGCTGTATATCATGTAGGATATAGCTTATATCCTATGACCAGGCGCGTACGCAGGATTTTTTTCAAGGGGGGGGTAACATTTATAAATCGTGCCGAAAATTTCGCAACGACTCAGCCAGCCGCTGAATAAGCGGGGGGGGGGGGGGGGGGTAAGAGGTCACTTTTTTTTTCTTTTTTTTTTGAAAAATCCAAAAGGGGGTTTTAGGGGGGTTTTCGTATAGAAAATTACCAAAGGGGGGGATAACCCCCTAACCCCACCCCCCCCCCCCCTGTGTACGCGCCTGCATATGACAATGTAGCCTATGGTGTTACCAACTTTCTCCCATATGGCTTCTTTTAGTTACGATGCATAGGGCC